CGTTGCGAGGTCGAAACTGCAGTCCACTCCTGCTGGGATGGGGACAATTTTTGGGAAAGCAAGGCTATAAAAAAAATTCAATGAAGACGTCAGCTCAATTCATATCATTGTTGGAAAATTATTCTTCTACCAGTGTGAATACATCTCATACTACTGATTTACTGGTAGTCACGAAAACAATACTTAATTCGAAAAATACTTATTCTCAGTTGACGAATTTTTCTTGTTAATCTTGGCATTCGAGACGAGTCCTTCATCACCTGAACGAAATATGAACTCATCCCAAGTCTGATTTACAGGTAGTCTAGAAAGGCTACTTACAAATTAAAACTAAGTAATGTGGTCGATTGCTGTAGCAAATATAAGTCGGCTTCATCGATAATTCCACCACAGAATGATATGACAGGATGCCTGGCCTTCCTGAAAATTTACATCTGCCCTGTGACCCAATGCCCATCGTGGCAATATTGTGTAGTGGTTAATGTGTCAAGCTTATGCGACGCACTGTCATGGTTCGAGTCCCGCTGGGGCCGTTGATAAGACCTAGGCGAGGGCGAAACTGCAGTTCAACTTCACACGGAATAGAATAACTATCGAGAAATTAGGGCAATGTGAGAATTAATGAAATCATGAGGCCTACTCATTTGATTGTGAACAAATTCAACTGTAGATACGAAGAGAAACTTGGTTTCGATGAATCTCCTGAGAAGACAAAAATGCTTGCAATGGTAGCTGCATCCAAAGGTCCGAAGTGGTCGAACACATGGTAGCTGCTGGACATGAAATAAAATGGTCTCAAACTAGTCGGTTTGCTGATTACGGTACGTCTGTGTTTAAAAGAAAGACAAGAGAGGCCATTGAAATTAATAGCTTAGGAAATACGTTGAATGTGAGGAATGGTGGTATAAAGTTGAGTAGGAATTAATTATGCTTGATTGATAGATTGAAATAGAAAGAGTGTGTTGATCCACCTTTAAAAAGAAGGCTACTCAATTTGTATGCTCAATGATGGTTCTAATTTTACTCACATTTGCCTAAAATGTTAGATTAAGCTCATCAACCAAACCAGACATGTCAGATTACGCAACCCCAATCTTGTCTTTCCTTGGAGGGTTAAAATTTAATGACCCTAGACCCAAAGGTTAGGACAAATGGTTTTGTAACTTGATTATCATGCTTAAAAGCTCATATTTCATTGTCTCAACCATACTTATTTACAGACATAGGCAGTCTCGGTCAAAGATTTTCTCTTGGATCATTAGGTCTTGAGGATCAGAACACGAGATTTAACCTTTTACAAGTCTGATTTAGGAACCGTATTGCATATAGACGCT